GAAGGTGATCAGCCTTCCCTTCCCATCCATGACCGCAGCTTCGTTGCACACGGTAGGTCATGGATGCCGTGTGCCCCTGCTTGTGAAGCGGTGGTGGTACAAGTGACATGTGGATCGGTCGGCCGAAACCCTTGGTCCAGGGGTGGACACACACAGGTCGCCGTTGTCGGCGCTTTTTCAAAAACCGGTGGCAGGCGTGGTGGTTGTGTCCTTTTTGGACATAGAGCCTCACTAGCTCGGCGGCAGCAGCTTCAGCGCTGGAGGGTGGAAATGTGTATTTTCGAATGGTGTGAAGTCTGGATTGGAGGCCTGACAGAGCCAAGCGCTGGCTCCCGGCGGTGGTGGAATCCCTGATTTTCCAGGGTTGGGAAGGTAAATTGTTGTAGGGTGTGGTCATGCATCTCGAATTAGATTTGAGAACTCCGGTATGCGGGCTTGAGTTCTTCTGACAAAAAGGTCACGGTACAGGTCAAAAAGTCGATACATGTGAGATCATGCCAAAACTCTTTGCAAGACTGGTCAGAAGGTCTTTCAGTGAAGGGAAAAGCTGCCGTGTTTGGGCCCGGCGGCCAATGCATCAGTTGATTCAAAGGGTGTGTCAATGACTTCCAGTGGAAATCCGGTGAAAGGTGGCAAGTTGGGGTGGATGCTTTCCTATGCAAAGACGGCTCCCCAGCACCCGAGTGGGACGGCTGAGCGAAACACACTCTGACATTGGTTTTCAGTGACTCAGTTACCACGATGGGAAGGATGGCGGTGGAACGGCATGGTGATTGGGTCAGATCACTTGAATTGTTTAACATAGTTTCCCTCGCTCTGCTGAACAAACGCTGCACATCTGCGGACGATCGGCGGCTCAGCTGCTGAAAGAAACCTGTTTGGGGGGTGGAGGCATGAAGAACCATGGAAACCAACAAACAGCGGCAGGGTGGACCATTGGAGTCAGTGTGTTGAAAGCAGGTACAGGAAGGTGATCAGCCTTCCCTTCCCATCCATGACCGCAGCTTCGTTGCACACGGTAGGTCATGGATGCCGTGTGCCCCTGCTTGTGAAGCGGTGGTGGTACAAGTGACATGTGGATCGGTCGGACGAAACCCTTGGTCCAGGGGTGGACACACACACACACGCACACACTCGTGACATCAGTTCGCACGACCAAAAGTGCAAAGTTCCAGCCCACGCGAGCCTAAGTAAAAAGGAACAACCTGAGCAAAACATGCAACGGAGTCCAATTCCAACGTCTGCCAACTTGAATCATCCTGCAACAGCCTGAAGACCTCTACAACCTTCACAGCTGTAGCAAGTAATAACGGGTACACGAAATGACGTCTCCATCCGCTTCCCCTCCAACGGTTTAGCTTCGTTGGACAAGTTTCCTTGCCACCCTGCGAATACTCAAAGCACATCATAAAATAACTTCTGAAAGGAACCCATGGCTTCAAGGTGAACACGCTTGAAAGGAGGCTCGCAAAAACAAAGTGCAGTGTATATCCGGAGTTCATGAGACCGGCCCACCGCAGTGGGACCATGCTGCGAATACACACTTAGGAGGAGGCTCCTAGGAGCAAAGCGCCGTGTACATCCAGTGTGCACTAATTAAACCTTTACATTACCGCAAAAAACAACCTGTCAAACTCATGTCAAAAAGTGCTCTGAGCAAACGGAAAGGTGAGAAATAAAGTCAGAGCCAAGATATTGTATAAATCATTCAATGCAAGTACGTCCAGAAAACGCCCTGTCCAGATATCACGACATATCACGACCGTACCATCACGGTCTTTGTTGGGCAGTGAGTGGTGGCGGTCCGCTGTCCCTGGAAGCAGTGTGGGACACACACACACACGGACACACACACACAACACCACCAGTGGTGTGGCCTCTGCCTCTGTCGGCACTCCTGCTTCGGTCATAGTCTGCATTGGACTCGACGCCAGGACTACTACTCCTGGGCATATGCTGAAGGAAATGTAGAGTAGCCAAAAGATAGAGAATGCTGAGAATGGATCGTTTATGGACGGCGCGTGGCAAATGCTCATTCATGCTCACAAATGAACTCGATCAGTTGAGATCCTTACAACATGCCACATCAAGGAATAGGTCTAGGTATGGCCCATGGATTGAACAAAACCCACAGTGTCCTGCTGCGGCCACTGCCACGGATGATGGCTCCCACAGGCTCAGTCGGAGTAGCCCCTCCGCTCAAATAAATTCGACAGTGTATTATTGGAAGAGTCTCGAAGAGTTGGAAAAACTCATCAATGGATTGCACAGCTCTGTCGAAAGCCTGCTGAAGGCATAGCAGCCAAGCATCCAAAGACAGTTGGTTAACAATAAGACAGGAATAAGACGAACTTGTTGGTTTGTCGCAGGTCTTGTTGCTTTGAATGTTGCCTGGTTG